TATTTACGTCAGTCCTATTTGATTGAGTTGTCTTATGTTTGTATAAATTTTTTCTTTAATATTAAAAATGGAATTTTAAAATGTATTCATCCAAAGTAACGAACTTGTTTTTACGAAAGTTCATAAGTTCATAATAATTGTAATTTTATTTTTCAGTATTCGTTTACCATGATGTATACCTTACGGTTTGATATTTTAAATAACAAATAAATATATTATACCTACATAATTCGTAATTTTTTCATTGCACGAGCAAAAAATCTCGTTTTATGAATGTTTAATATATATAGAGTTAATGATTTTTCTTAATCCGAAGAACTTAATTGTAATTTTTATAATCTATATATATATATATATGTTACATACAAAGTCCGGAATTGTACACTTCGCAATTTGTACAGTGATTTTTGTACACATTGCGAATTGTTCAATGTTGCTGTACAAAGTAACTAAATTGTACAAGTTCATTATACAATTCGCGATGTGTACAATAATCACTGTACAAATTGCTAAGTGTACAATTCCAGACTTTGTATGTAACATATATAAAAATGGAGCCAAAAATGTATAACAATTCATCAATTGAAAACGGCTGGGCCGATTTGGCTCAAATTTTTTTTTAACTGTTCGTAATTGCTAGGAGAAGGTTTTTACAAAAAAACAATTTTGGAAACCCCATTTTTTTAAAATTTTTTTTTTATTTATTTAAAATTTTTTTTGATGATTGATTTTTTGAGTTCCGGAATGTTTTTTTGAATTTAAAAAACTACAGCAAGCTTTAGCTTATAAAATTGTCCCTATGACATAATTAATCGTTAAAATGAGGCCCCCGGCCAACACCAAAGAATGGATCAACATGGAGAGTTAGTCACACTATTTGTTACCATATTCCTCCAAAACGGCTTAACCTATTTTAATGAAATTTTGTATATACATTTGGTAGGTCTGTGAATAAGTTTTTATCTATTTTTTATATTCCTAAGTGCTATTGTTTAATAAATCGTAGTTTAATTTAATAATTTTTACCCGGTCGATAACTGCGCAATTGAAAATGAATGAATGATACTATTAAGAAACTATTAAAAAACTATTAAAAACTATTTAAAAACTATTAATTTTATTATTGTTATTAAATGATGGGTATTGCATAAATATTAAACCACAAGATTTCGCAACAGGTGCCAAAACAATCAAGAATGTTAGTTCGAAGGATTATTATTCATATCGGATGATGAATAGATACGATCAGGACAACGTTATTCTTCGATGTCGTGAGCTTTGTCAACAGTTTATGGTCGACATGTATGTAAAGATAGAGAGCGAACGATTACGATACTTGCAATTTATCAAAAAAAGCTGCCTGCGGAAGGTTCTCAAAACAATTGTTAGATATCAGTGATGGGAATGTTACTACAGATGAAATGGTATGCTCACAATTACCAACCGATTTCTGCACAATCATTGATTCGCAAGATGCTCTCATTAATCAGATATTTCTCAATGTACTCAGATAATACATAAATCATGAGTGGCTGGCAGAAAGAGCAATTTTAGCAGCAAAAAATGTGGACGTCAATGAATTGAATCTCAACATTGATACAACATTTGTTATCAGGAGACTTAGTGTCATACAAATCTATTGATAAAGTTTGCGATGCTATTGCAGCTGTAAATTATCTAACAGAATTTTTAAACTCATTGGATTTACCAGACATGCCACCGCATAATTTAGAACTGAAGGTTGGATCTCCGATTATTTTGTTTCGTAATTTGAACCCACCACGTTTGTGCAATGGCACGCGATTAGTCGTTAAAAAATTAATGAAAAATGTTATCGAAGCCATCATTTTTAAATGGCAAATTCTGAGGTGAAAATATATTATTATCACGAATACCTATTATAACCACAGATGTGCCAATACAATTCAAACGCTTTCAATTTCCAATTAGATTGGAATTTGTAATGACTATAAATAAGTATCAACGCAAAACGATATCTGTCTCTAGTTTAGATTTGAGCACATCATGTTTTTTACACGGATAATTATACGTGGCGTGCTCTCAAACCATCCAGTTTGTTTGTGTTGGCAAAAGATGGAATGACAAAAAATATTGTACAGTCTGTTGTATTAAGGGATTGATATTATTTTTTACTAATATTTCATAATTAGCGATGTATATAATTTTAAAGGATCAATTTTAATAAGTTATTAAAAAAATAAATCTTTGATGTTTTTTCAGTTTTATACTTCGCCACTGTTCACAGCACTCCATACCTCTTTCACTTATATACCACATTCTAACACACTTGTGTTAAATTAGTTATTTTTTTCTAGCAAAATATTCTCTAGAAATAATTTATATGACAAAACAACGTTTGTCGGGTCAGCTAGTAAATTATAAGGGTTTGAATCCAATCAATAGACATTGTATAAAACGCCCAATACTGTTGACCCTTAATTAACAGTAAAATTTCTGAAATTGTTAAGTTAGGCCTAACATGATTTTCAGATTATCAAAACCTCTTTCCTAATCCAATATTAAAGTATAGGCTATGAAATTAAAAATATTACCTAACATCCGATAATATGCCTTTTTAGTGTTACCCTTTAATCTCTGAAATTAAGATTTATTATTTTATCAACGTAAAACATTAATTCTATACTTTTCTATTCTAAATTGTTACACAAATATAAATATTATTATTTAAAACTTCGTGTATAATAAATTAATATAGGATTGTTCTTTATTTCGGCATTGTGTCCTGTTGTTCTGACAAACTTCTCTCAGGACGTTTTTTATTTTGTAGTTTCAATTCTGTCACATATTAATCTCGTTTCTTGACTTACTTCTGTTAATTTATAATATTTGTTATTTATTTTATAAAAAAATCGTTTTTTTTTACTATATTTTTGTATGACATTATTGAATAGAATAATATAAGAATCTATAATTTTCAGTTGTATTTTTGGTAGTAATGGGTCGAACCTGGTTTTTTCGGTGTCGAATCGAACTCGAACCAATCATTGTCAAAGTATTACGAACCCAAAATGAACTCAACTATTAAAATTTTTTATCAAACTCATAATTTTTTTCCCTCTTATAAATATATTGAAATAATGAAAATTTTACTTACATTGTTCATAGGTAATTTAATACACATAAAAATATACAATAAATTATAATAATATTTATATATATATATCATATACAATATAAATATCCAATACTATTATTTCTAATACAATTTTTAAAAATATAGAGTACAAAAAACATTTATATTTTTCCTTTTCACTTTTCCAAAAATAGATTTTTGGCTTTGATCATATTATCACACATCGTATGTAAAAAATAAAATAAAAAATAGTCTGTTATAATATTACCTATATCATTGATTTTATAATATTGTATATTTTAAAATCAATGTCTATAGATATTTACATAAGTAATCACATGCTTCAACATGGAATTATTTTATTTTATCATACCTAATCGTAATAATATAAAAAAATAAAAATTGTTAATTTTACAATGATACTTATTATTAATAAAATATAATAAGTTATTATAAACTATAAAGTATTGAAAATTAATTTTAGATTGTTTGATAAAGAATATTTTCAAGTTCTAATTTCGAACATATCTAAATGGTAAATAGTTCGGTTCAATTTTCTTTAATTTTGTATTTGATTAGGTTCGACCCATTAATAATTTTTGAATTTTTGTTTTTACCATAATAAATTATTATTTGTGTTTCATCACATCTTTGTCGACGACGTAAACCGTACGTATAATAGTAAAAATACTATTATAGTATTATAAGTATATTTATAGTAGTATAGTTATATTTACCGACCGATACGATCAGTTCGTTATCAAATTTGTGTGTGTTGCTTGTGTTGATGACAATCGTCATCAAAATGAATAAACAAGTTTTTTTTTTAAAAAGTTAAGTAAGTATACATAAATTAAGGATTTGAGGACATTTTAAAAAGTATTAATTTAATTTAATTATGATATTTTATGTTTTTCGAAATGTTTTTATGTGCTAAAATTCTAATCTTTAATAGTTTAAACATTTTATTTTTTCTCGATTAAAAATCAACAAAAATATATATATGCTATAAATACTTATTAGTTTAAAACTGTTATAGATAATATTTTTGTCCTGTATTTTATTTTTTTAAATATGATCACCCTAAATTAATAAATTCAATAAAGTTAATCCGAAAAACGATAAAATAACGATAAAGATAACGATGAAATTTTAAATATATTGTAAATTTTTATAAGCACATCTTCTATACTATAATGGTTATTATTTTTATTGTTTTAATAATTTTATCTAAATGAAAAACTGGCAAAAAACAAGAGGTACATATGATATTTAAAGTTTTAAATATATTATTATAATATATTGTAAATTATTTTATCTATTATTATAATTTAATGTATATTTATTAGTACATAAATAATTTTAAAAAATGCATTCAAAATAGATAAAATTTTATTAATGTTATTTTTGGTATCGATGTATTACATTGTTGGTTAAAAAGTTAAGCTTTTAGTAGTATGACATAGGTAATTTTTTTTCATTAAATTAACAAATACATTACAAATAATTAGATACTTAAAACTCTTATTAAAAATAAAATTATGTTAATTAAATATTTTAAAAAAGCATAAGATATTGATAATTTTCGGTTAGAAAATTAGTTGATTCTAAATCAGTATTTTATTCCGTTGCAGTACTTGACGATTTATAAAAATGATTTAAGTTATAAATACTAAAAACACACCATATTATGAAATAATTATTATGATTAAAATAAAAACAACCAAAGATACCTGATGAAATAACATTAATAATGGTTAATAAGTATGTATTATATTTCCAATCGGTCATTTTTCAAAGGTGTTCCGTACAAATTTTTATTAGGTATTTGTAGTAAACGAGCACAAAATTTATTTAAATTAATCAAAGAAATATTACGATTTACCTTTTGTATAAAAGTGTTCATTTTTCTTACGATATTATTAAAATTCACAAAACTTATCACAATACCGAATAACAAGTGGCATACACAACGCAAGAACGAACAGTAAAGTAATTGGTCCTATAATAGTTCACTTATATATTTTCCCTTCCCTCGACAGTTTCATTTTGTTGGTTTAGTACATAATATACGTACATTCATAACTTAGACACATATATTGTGTTTATGTTTTATTATTTATATTTACAAATATGTCATACATACATGCAATTACGCAGAAAACGAATACAACCAACATTAGAGAAAAAAGGATATAATTTTTATATCATATTTTTTATACTATTTTAATATAATAAGGTATTTTCACTGAGTTTCTTAAAATTAATTATGGGATTAGAAGTGGTGTAGGTAAGGTTAGGTAGGTTAGGTAGGTTCAAGGGTTCAACTCCCCGCATTGCAAAAGTCTTAGTTAGTAAATAAATAGCTAATAATAATTTTTATTATTACCTGAATATATCAAACCATCCCATAAATAATCTTTACCTACACACTTGGATATTGGTGATTATTTTGTGTAAATATATATTCATTTTCTTTTACATATTTGTATTCTATAAATTATATACAATAATATATTTTAAATGGAAACATAATTTAACATTTTCAAGTAAACCTAAGTAAATCATTTGAAAATGTATAGACATTAAATTTCTCAGATAGGTACATTTAATTTATTGATAAATTTTATGAGCAGGGTTCATAAGTTCATGCCCTAAAAAATGCCTAAATAAGCATGCATTTATGCACTTAAAATTGGCAAAATATGCTTTGAAATATTCTTTAAAAAGTTAAAAAAATATGCATTTATTTATTTAAAATTATACATTTAAAAATATCATAAATAATTTTTGAAATAATATGAACTATCCATTCATTTTTTTTTTTATAGATATATTTTATTTATATATGTCACAATTAAAAAAAAAAAATAGATTTTAAATACTATTTAATACTATTCTTGAGCCTTTATGAACTGCGTATAATGTACGTCTTTGTCAGTAATTAAATCTGAAACTTTTGAAACTAAATTATTCATTAAATGTACGAGTATATCTAGAAGATAAGAAAAAAAAAAAATACAATATCTATTTCCAATTTTATATATATTTCCCATTTAGATTATTGATAGATTCTAATAGAATGTTGTATAATATGTTCAATGAAATAGAAATATGCATAAATATGCCAAATATACAAAAAACATGTCAAATATGTAAAAACATGCTAAATAAGATTTCACATATTTAACCGTGGTGTCTTGAAATGTATTTCTATGTCATCTAGCACTAAATACAACTTTGCAAGATTGATTTGCAAATGCATGAACTTACGAGCCCTGGTTATGAGCAATAGTTTTCCTTTGGGTAAATTTTGATAAAAAGTTTTAGAAATTTTTTTCTTTGAATTATTTTAAAATTAAAATATGTGTTCTTATATTATAAGTCATTAATTCATATAATTTTGGTGTAAAAAAAACAATTTGACGCTCGTAAAACATTGAATTAATTCAATTATTTTTTGTTGTAATCTAAAATGTTTTTTCTCGACACAAAATTCGTTAGAATTTAGAAATTAATTATTTTCAAAATCAATTCAAAATTTTCCAAAATGAGTAAAATTAAAAATTAAAAAATTAAGATATTGCATTATTATAATAACAATCATAATAAATATATGTCGTTCAATTAGTTTCAACATACATAATTCAAGAATTCGATGGAGGTGGTAATGTAACAATCTTCCGTGTTTTGAATGTAATTTATTAATTGGTTATACGTTTCTATTTTTTGTTTTCAACAAATTGGAAATGAACACCCATTATTTTATGTTGAACAATTGCAACTTACAAATTGCGTAATAATTCAAATAATTCAATATTCCTTATCTACTTATTTACGTTCGTAATAGACGGAGTTTTCGATCGTCAACATTAAAATATAAGATGCCAAACATTCCTCAAAGACTAATTTAGCACTGTTTTAAATTTTTTCGTTCAATTCATATATACACCGTGAGACGAAATGGACTTTGGTGATAATACCGTGTTTATTATACGAGTATATATTTATAGAACCGAGGGGTGGTGTAACGCAACAATGACATAGGAGTCTGCCTTATCGGTCATAAGTATTTCAGGGAGAGTGGTGATCAGCTTTTCTGACGCGTTTCGTTATGGCCCAGAGGTGTATATAGCACAACTACGGAGCACAAAGTCCAAAAATTTGGATGAAAAGATATTGACGTCCCGCGGTGTAGTTATTTTAAATACACAATAATCACATTAACGAGTTCGACACGTAACTTATAATTTCATTATCAACATTACGAACAATTTTCACCAGGCGTACATAACTCGGCTACACCACCTATGTCAAAACGGCTGCATCCGAATTGGGTCCCGAATTTGAAATTTCTACACTAGTTAGGTCCTGAATTATTTAAGGTACAACACTAGTTGGGTCCTGAATTATTTTTTTGGTTTACACTAGTTCCTGAATATTTTTTGATAAGTACTACTTTATACTAACATTTTCCTTTCCATTTTAACAGACGTAGGACTGTCTATGATCTATTTAGATCACAGGACCACATTTTTTTAAAATTTTATAATTTATATAATAATATAAAGTATTATTAAGTAATAAAAGTATTATAAATAAAATATTAGTAATATTAAGTAATAAAATTTTAATATTTTTAATATTTTTACCAACACAATTCTAATAATTTATATTTTAATAGAAAAGAAACTAAAAAAAATTCTTAACCATACCTGTAGTCTAAATAGATCACGGATAGTCCTAAGTCTGTTAAAATGGGAAGGAAAATGTTAGTATAATGTAATACTTACCAAAAAATATTCAGGAACTAGTGTAATACCTAAAATAATTTAGGACCCAACTAGTACACTACCTGCGATTAGCCCCTAGTACATGGGACCCAACTCGGATGCACCGGTCAAAACCAGTAACAGCTCCTTAAAAGGCATCAAAACACTAAATACAAGTTTTCTCAGATTTTATGTACGTTATAATATAAGAAATATAATGAGGGTGTCACAACTTAATTTTAATTGTTTAATGAGATTATAAGCATTGGGAAGTATGCGTGTGACGTCATAGAACCGAAGTTAGATGGACAATGTATGTTTTATGTGCTTAAGCGTCTGGACAACAGTTTTCATCGCATATAAGTTAATCGGTTTTATTTTGACACGTGGTTATTTATCAACTCGTCAAAAAATTATTTTTTAGCTTTAGCTTTTTACTTTCTCCATTGTCTTAAATACAATATTATATCATTATAATAAAAATAATAAAAATGTTGTGTTGTGATATGCTTTAATATTGGTCATTTACACTACTTCGAGGATAATATTATTTATCACACCACGTGCGTTGGTCGTATAAAAGAAGTCTGTTTATCGTTATATAGAATTCATGTAATTATACTTTGGTGTAGCAAGAACTCGAACTTCTTAACTGAAATACCATAACAAACATTTTAAAATTAAAAATTATACCGTATACTTCTTGTTAAACAAATATGTTTTGAATTCTGTATGACTATAAATCATATTAGAACATTTTTATCTCAAGTTTCCAGTTATAAAAATTTATTTTTAATTTTTATCCTGGAGTAGAGTATAGTTTTAAAAATCAAGTATTGAATTAGTACCAATAGTAATGCATATCATATTAAATTGTTTGTATGGTTTAGGTGGATAGGGTAGTGCACTACACTTCAGTTAAACTTTAAATATTTATAAATAATTAACCATTGGATGGACTTTTATAGAACTAATTTTTTAGATGAGTATTCTGCTTTAGAATATAACGTTAAAAATAGTTTACTATTAAAAAGTATAAAAAACTTAAATTGCTCATAATATCTATATATTATATATTAAAGCGATAAAAATTGCTAAATGCATTATTATTTATTCAACAATGATGTGGATATTAGTATAACATGAAGATATTTAAAAATAATATTCCAAAAACGTATACGTTACCATAGAAAATGTGTCTTTTTATTAATTATATAAAAAAAAAAAAATGTGTTTTAGGTTTAATTTGTTGTGCGGCATTCGTGTGCTGTCAGGGATCCACTTTCTATTGTTGCGTATTATAGCACATTCTTTTGAAATACCGATCGCATTTTAGTGATGTATATTTTACGTAATGAATGTTTAACTATAAATATTTATATATTATTTTACAACACACAGACGCGGTTTAGGTGTAATATATGTAGAAGTGCGTAGACCTATATTTCACGGGGTATCTACAAAACTTTTGGGCTCTATTTTCACAACGTGTTGGTATATTTAATAAATTATAATGTATAAATAATTAAATAAATATAACTTTAATTTGATATTTAATATTGTGGTATATTAGTCTCGATGAATATGTTTTTTTTTCGAATCTTGTATATTTGACTCAGATAACTACAAATATTTATGATTTTTACGAATGTAGTCAATTGTAGCTGTTATATAATCGTAATTAATTTTTGCACGAAAATTTAGAAAATATAGTTTTATTTTTTCCAATAGGAAACGTCATTTATTTTTTACCAAATATTTTAGAATGATTTATATTTAATTTGATTAAAACATCGGTTAAAAAAACGAGCCCTTTATTCTTAGACTCAAATTTTAAAGCCCCATTTACATTATTTCCAGGGGTACTCGGGCCATAGTAATATGCATTATAATAGTGGAAGCTTTTGAATTTTCAACGCATGAAATAATTATATAACAATATTGTGCTCATTAAACTTATAGGATTGTTGTGTGTGGTTCATCAGTTGGAGTATGAATTCAGTTCGGTATCGTTTTTTTTTTCAAACAATAACTCATCATCATCGTGATCATTTTTCGAGCGCAGATGATGTCTAACTTTTTATAATAGCTTATAGGTGTTACACTTTTTTTTTTCTTGAAAATTATTTAATTGAATAAACCTACTTATTTTTAGTAGTTACGTCGGTGCACCGTAACTGCGCATGCATCGTGGCCATTTTG